AACCACCACAAGAAAAAGAAGAACAAGATAATGTTGAATATGTCCAACAAGAAATTACTAGTTTAAAACGTAAAGATGAAAAGATAGAAGGTAGTGAAAATAATGAGGTTGCACCAACTATAGAATTTGATGTGAGTAGTGATGAAGATGACCATGGAAATAAGAAAAAAGAAATGTCTTCTATTGGAAAGAATTTTATTCAAACATTAGGAAAGAAGAACAAAATCTCTGGAAGTACTCTTTTAATTTTGTTTGGATTAATGGTTCTACTAGTTGTTTTTATGGTTGTTGTTTATTTCATTGGTAATAAAGACACATAATTTAATTGCATTCTTTTCATTATTATTGATAATTTCTCATATCACTTCTCAAAAGACAGAAAGAAATAGTAAAATTGATAATAAGTAAATAATAAATTTGTTATGAAATAAAAATCTCAAAAACCCTTGACAAAAACAAAATGTCAATCAGAATTGAACAATGCGTTGTTTTAAATATTCTTAAACACTTCAGAAATACACACTCTTCATTTAATAATCAAACACATTGTGGTGGAAGAATGTATGGAGTTGTTAATGATGAATCAATTGTTGAAATAACTGGAAGTACCCCAAAGTCTGGAGAAGGAAAATTAAAAATAACAAAAGACGTATTTGGACAGAATTGTTATTGTGTTGGGATGTATGTCTGTGGAGGAAGCAAAGATTTAACTGAGCAACAATTAGAATATTTGAGTAAAGTTAAAGAGAACATTGGAAGTAGTTTTGTGGTATATATCAATCCAACTGAAAGTTTAAAAAGAAATTCACTTGTTATGGAAGGATATATTCTAGAGAATGAATCTACAAAGGAATTAAAAAGCGTTGATGTTGTTCTTTATACGTCTTCTTTACAAAAGAATTTCATTGCTCAAATGGAATAAAGTGTTGAATTGACTCATTAATTAATATATATTAATGTTTTTATTATGAGAAATGAATAGAAAAAATTAAAAATCAATGAAATGATTAAACGACAAAAAGAGTGAAGTTTTAAAAGAACAAAAGACATTATAAATTAACATAACACCACATAACAACTAAATACTTTCAGCATAAAAATAAAGTAATCAAACGAATAAAAAGAGATGAAATAATGGTGTTAAATAATTTAAATATATTCACAGAATCAAATTTATTTGAGTAGTTTAAAAAGAATGAAAATATGTGAATGATTTAATTGGTAATCAAACAAATAAATTAATGAAATAAAATCATGAGATGAACAAAACACTCATAAACAATTTTTGAAGAAGTTGTCAGATTATGAATTAATGGGAAAGTAACTACCAAATGATTAAATAGTGGATTAAAGAATAACAAACACTATTAATCTTAATAAATAATGAAAGAATAATATACAATAAAGAGGTAGATTTATGATAAACATAACAATCAGAATTTATAAAGAAAACAAATAGAAAGCCTTGTGTATAAAAGAAATAGAGATAATGAAATGGATAATAGAAAAATAAATAAGAATTAAGAACAGAAACAAAGAAGATGAATCAGATATTAAAAATAACTAAATTAAATGAATAAAAGAATAATGAATAACACAACATTAAATAATGAAGAAAGAAGAAATAAAAGATAATTTAAGTATTGAATTTGATATTTAGTTCAAAATAAAATAAAGTACTTGTTTTAATTGAATGAAACAAGTATTTTAATAATTTTCTAATTAATTTCAATTGACTAACATTGAATAATATAAAATGAATATAAAATGATGATAAAGAATAAGAGAATAAAAGAATAAAAGAAATGAATGAAATAAATAAAATAGAAAATGGAGTAAAGAGAGTAGAAGAAATGAAGAATGAAAGAAAAAGAATAAAGAAAATTTAAGAAGAAGAGATTAATATAATAGAAAATAATAAATAATAATAACCATTTTGTTTATAGAATATTATTCATAATACTAAATAATACATAAGAAAGAAAATGAAGAAAATAATATAACAAGAAGATTATAATATCTAATAATATGGTTCAATGTTTATAAATTCTATTTAAAATATATCTGAGTCATTCACTTGACAAATGAACCAGCAGATACATTTAATATAGTCAATGTAACACCTGATCCTAATGAGATTTCTGCAAAGAAGAAAATTGCAAGATATAGAAGAAAAAGTTAGTGTAATAAAACTTTTCAAATATTCTGATTGGATTGACATGATTTTAATACTAGTTGGACTCATAAGTTCATTAGGAAATGGAGTAATGTATCAACTCATGATACTTTTGATGGTTGACATAGTTAATAGTTATATTTTTACTGCTGATGATAATACAATAATAGATGAAGAAGTTAATCACATGATTGTTGAAGGAGTAAAAGAGTCAGTGAATAAAGTAGTTGTGAAGATAGTATATTTTGGAGTGATAAGTATGGTGTTGAGTTTTCTGAGAACATTTTCATTGTTTGTAGTTTCTCAAAGAGAAGGAATTAAACCGAGAAGATTATATTTCAAGTCATTATTAAGACAAGATGCAATATTGTATGATTTTCAAGAATCAGGAGAATTGACAGCAAGAATAGCAATAAATATTAAAAATTATCAAGATGGAATTGGTCCAAAATTTGGAATGATTTTTCAAATAAGTTCAATGGTTATTACAGGCTGTGTTATTGAATTTAAAAAAATGTTGGGATTTTGCATTAGTTGTGTTAGCAACTGTTCCATTTTCATCCTTGTCTTTACAATATTCTAAATGGTTGGAATGCAATATGAAACAAAAGCATTAAATGTGTTTGGAGCAGCTGATGATATTACAGAAGAGACAATAGGAAATATTAGAACAGTTCAATCATTAAATCAAGAATATGAATTTATTGAAGAGTATGAAGAAAAAATAAAACAAAATGAACATTTTAATGGAATTAAAGGACAATGTCTTGGATTAGGATTTTCAGTTATTACATTTTTCATGATTGCATCATATGCACTTGGAAGTTGGTATGGTTCATTAGTCATTAGAGGAAAAGGAGGAAGTAAAGGTGTATTTGCTGTGGATGTATTAATGGTGTTCATGTCAGTACTATTTGCTTCTCAAACATTATCAATGATTGCAAGACAATTAAATTTGCTCTTTTAGATACAAACTTTACTTTATAAAATATTTACAACAATTGATAGAATCCCAGATATTGATTGTCAGTCTATTGGAGGTGAATGTCAAAGTGAGTGTAATGGGAATATTCAATTTGATGATGTTTAATTTGTTTATCCAACAAGACTATCTCATCGTGTATTAAAAGGATTTAACCTTGAAATTAAGAAAGGAGAAACAATTGCATTAGTTGGAGCATCAGGATGTGGAAAGTCAACTACCATTCAATTAGTCCAAAGAAATTATGAGCCAAATGGTGGAAGGGTAACATTAGATGGAAAAGACATACGAGAATTGAATATCAAATGGTTAAGAAATCAAATAGGATTAGTTGGACAAGAATCAGTGTTATTTGCAGGAACAATTGGAGAAATATTATGCTTGGAGCTAAAGAATGAGAAACACTAAGTAAAGACGAGATGATTGAATGTGCTAAAATGGCAAATGCACATGAATTTGTTTCTAAACTTGCAGAAGGATATGACACACTAATTGGAGAAAAAGGAGCATTATTATCAGGAGGAAAGAAACAAAGAATTGTCATTACATGTGCATTGATTCGAAAACAATCTAATCTTCTTCTTGATGAAGCTACATCAGCACTTGATACACAAAGTGAAAAGATTGTACAAGAAGCATTTGAAAAAGCATCTAAAGGAAGAACAACAATTATTGTAGCACATAGACTAACAACTGTTAGAAATGCAGATAACATATGGGTTATTATAGGAAGAAACGTAAAACAATGAATATGTTAAATACTAATAGGGATGATATGAATTGATTATACACTTGTTATTCAATAATTTTGAGTTATGAATTAATTCAATAAAAAGTAATAGTTAATTATTGGTTCATTTTATGTTAATATCATACAACTATTTCTTCATCTATTAAGACAATGTAAATAGAATAAAAAATCAAATGTCATTAATAACACAATATGATATAATCAAATAAACATAATGTTTTGAATAGTATTTTATCTTTATAGTTTAAAATAAAAGATATTTATATGACAATAATTGGAAGTAAACAAGCAATATAATTTCAAATAAAAACATTAAATTAGTAAGTTCAAATACAAAACACTTTCACCACTTTCAGAAACTATATACTTCTCTATTACTATTTTAAAAATAGTGGTATGTAAAGTACAAAAAGACTTATTGCATTGAACAAACCAAAAAAATAACAATAAAGAGGTATTCTATAAATTTATTAATAAAAATTAGTTAATTAAGTATTAATAGAATTTTCATCTATTCTTCCTAGCTCAGGGGAGACTAATCCCATCCCTGAGCTTATTAAAAAAGAGTAATCTCTTTGTTGAACCTATTCTTTATGTTTTTCTTGCAAAATGAGGAAAGCACTTCTTTGCTTTATTTTTCCGATTAAGGTTTTTCAAACTTCTTCTGCTTATTTCTTCTTTTTAAGCCTTTGTTTGTTTTCTGCCTTAATTTTAAGGAATTTCATTTTTCTTATTTTATGAATGGAAGAAGGAATCATTTTATTACTACTGTATTACTTTGACTAATTTTCTTTTAGTCTTACTTTGACTAATCTTCTTTTAGTCATACCCACACTTCAGTAGATTCTTATATTACATCCATGTAATATTCTACTGTATTCTCTTGCTGCACCCTTTGCAGCATTACCAAATACATTCCAAATTCAAAGACCCGTCCTAACCAGATAATAAGTGGGAGAGTCGAAGAATGAATTTGTACTAGGGTTTGTATGTGGTGTTTCAAACATGCCACCTTCAAACTCCTTCTATAAATTTATTAATAAAATTAAAAAAGAATAACAAAAAACTTAAAAAAACATAAATAAAGATAAATGGAAAAGATTAATGATTTGATTAATCTTTCGTTATTAGAACAAAATGTAACACAACGGAATGAATTTAAAATGGTCAGAATGATTAATTTTATAAAAGAAGTAAAACAAAACCCACCAGATACTTATTTAGATTTTTTAACATTAAAAGTTAATCTTTATAATGCGGTGATTTGTTTATTTATCTCAATTATATTACTAATATTAACTCCATTGTCATATAAAAGAATAAGAATTATTCCATCAATATTCTTAATGTCTTTAGTTTATCTTTCACTTGTTCCAGTATATGCATTTGAAATGCCTTCAGAATTAGTTGATTTGTGTAAAGTAGTTACAGTAATTTTAGGAGGATTTACAATAATAACATTTATTTTTCTTAATACCAAATTAAATTGTTTTGGATATTTAGGATGTTTAATAGGAAATAATATATTCCAAATTATTTATTCTTTTGTAGATTCTGATATAATTCTACTTCTTCCCATTATTTCAATATCATTATATTTCTTAATTACATTACAAAATAAATTCTATAAAATTATTTCATTAGTTATACTTCTCAATCAATTGTTTTTAGTTTGTATTTTATCTTTCATTATTACTTAGTATTTCTTTAGTAACATTTCTATAGATTATTAAAGGAATCTTTCCTTTAGACTATTCCATTATTTACCATCTTATTCATATACCACTTATTTTTATTCTTTGGGATATTTTGATTTCACCATCAATACAAGAAACACAAAGCAAAATAAAAGAAGAATAACCATTAAATTAACTCACATTGCACGTGTTAAATTTGTTGCTTCACTTTTTAGATATTCTAAATAACTTTGATTAACTAAAGTCATATCACCTAAAGGTAAAAATTTATCAAGATGAGCTAATAGTTCGTCCATTCTTTCATAAATATTTGATAATGTATTTGTCTTATATAATTTACGAAGAACTAACACCCAATTATTAAGGAAATTTTGAGATGCAAACACTGAGTCATAGTCATGAAGACCAAGTGTAATAATAATTCCACCAACTTCACAATAAATAATTTGAATTCCTTCAAACTCTTCTTGAAGAGATTTTAATGAAGAATTAGAATATTCTTGACTTTCAATACAATATGTTGAAAATCTCATTGAATCTCCATTTACACTTCCTTCTCTTTCAATATCACTTTTTAAATGGGCTGTAATAATTTCCATTAATGCTTCTAATTTTCTTGCCTGAATGTTAGTTTGATAAAATTGTGACAGATAAATAATATTTCCTTCAATGTTATGATGAATAAGAAACTTAACCATAATTTATTGGAAAACAAAATAACTTTTTAAGATGAGTTTCAATTTTTCTTTGTTTTTGATAAACCAAAAGAATAAACCATTCAACAAATCAATCAAAAATATGAATTACTCTTTGTTATCTAACAATTCTACATAATTTATTTGTTCTTTATTTTACTGTAGGATACTTAAAATGAACAATAGTAGGTAGACCAATTAGATTTGAATATGTTGGTTGTTTCTTTGTATAATATTTTGATTCAACGAATTGAGGTGGTAATATATTAAATTGCTCAAGGACAGGAAGTTGAGAAGATAAATATCTTTTTAAAGAGAATGGAATAGATGAAGTGTCTATAAATTGTTTAAAAGATTTAAGAGAATCATTTCCATCATTAAATTGTAATGATTTAGAAAATATTTGTGAAGTTGTTTCAATTACTATATTAAGTAATTGTAAATCTGTTGTAGATAATGGTTGATTAAACTTTAATAAACACATTTGTAATCCATTAATAAGACTATTAACTTCATTTAATGACTTACTATTTTTACACAAATCAAGAATAATATCATTTATTATTCCTATTTCTTCTTTAGCAAAAATTGGTAAAGAAAGAAATGAAATTACAGTCTGAACAATTTCAAGATTATCTATAATTGTTAATATCATTTTCTTATTTAAGAAGTCTTAACAAACTATGATACATAATTAATTGATGAAGTATTTGAAAAAATCCATCAATTGTATTTGCTGAACATTCAATTCCAATAGAATAAGTATTTACATACCATTGAGCTAATTGACTTTGAATAAATGCATTAAAATCTTTCTTTTGATTTGGATGTTGTACAACAAAGAATAATAATGATAATGAAATTGTTTTAAATCTCTCTGATTGAAAAGTAATTGGTTCAATACTTTTTATAAATTCTTTAAATTGATTAAATGAATATGTGTGTATTAACATAACATACATTAATGCATCAATACATTTTTCAATTGAAATCACATTTAATATTAATGAAAGAGTTGGAAATGAACATTTTATTAAATACTCTTTTTCTAATCCTTCCCCTTTACAAATGTTGTTTGGTTTCTTACATAGTCCTGAAACAATTTTTGTTTTATATTGTTTTTTAATTAATTTATTAACTAACTCTGGATGAATATTCATAAATTCATTAAGATTTCCTCCAAATGATTCATCAAAGACTTCTTGAACTTCATTTTCATTTAATACTTCTAATCCATAAACACTTTCTTCAAAAATTATTTCTGACATTTTAATATTCCAAATTTTTCCTCCATTAGTATTTGTTAATTTCATTAAATTAGTAATCATTTTCATAATAATCATCATCCTTTCTTTGTCTTTATTTATAATAAGATGTTTTAATGTTGGTTGAATAAAGTGTTTTAAAACAGTACCAATTGATATTATTCCTACTTTAATTAATGAAACAATTTGGTTCATATTATTCATATTTAGAACTACATTTCCTACCATTTGTTTACATACAAATACTGGTAATGGAATTAATGGAATTAATTCACTACAAGATTGAAAGAATTTATCAAAAGAAGAAATATTTTTATTTAATGTATTTATTAATGTAGTTAATATAATTTTTGCTTTAAGTATTTCGTCAGTTATTTGACTAACTTGTTGAATGAATATTGAATAATCTTCATTAATAAATGAAGTATCAATTATCATTTCAGAGTTAGGTATTAGTTCATTAATTTCTTGCATTGTTTTATTTAAATAATTTTTAGCTCTAACTAACACTCCTTTAGGTGTGTCTATATAATCTAATAATAATGCAATTAATATTGTTGCTCTTCTTTTAAGATGAATTTCACAATCATTTTTTTTAATGATAGAATAACAACAAATAATTAAGTTCATTATTTTAGGATGATAAAATATCATAGAAACGTTTTGTATTAATTCTTCAAGAACTTCATTACATTCTTCTTTTCTTTTTTTAACCATTGAAGGATGTAATAATTCAATAGCAACATTAACAAAATGATACCAATCTTGATGTTCAATCATTTGTTTAATAGGACTTTCATTTTCTTTCATTTCATGTAAGTCATTTAAAAATTTCTCTGTTTTAATTTGACATTCTTTACAAACTAATGTTAATGAATAATCTTCATTTTCTTCTTCTTTCTTCTTAAATTCATTTAATCGTTTTTCTCGTTCTTTTTGTCGTTCAATTCTCTTTTTATCTTCTATTATTTTTTTACTTTTTGTCTTCTTTGCTTTTTTTCTTGACTTTTTCGTTACTTTTCTTTTTCCTTCTTCTTCTGATATTTCTTCGTCTTCATCTAATCCCGAATCAATAATACCCATTGTCATATATTCTTGTCGTGTTTGAATGAATTTATCATTAGTAAAAATGAATTTGATGAAAATAAATACATTTTCAGGTGTTATTGTTACTAATTTGGCAAATAATGTTTGAAGATTTAACATGTTGAGTTCAGCTAAGTCTGAGAAAATAATACAACGACGTGTTAGGTTTGGTTTATCTAGGGAGGTTAAAGCAATGGAAGTATAATCATTTAATTTTAATTCTTTTAATGAACATAGAAATAAATACCTTCTTTGAAGAAAATCCTTTCCAGTAATTTCTACAACCCAATCAATTACATTAGATGGGGATAATGTAGGAATAAGATGATATTTTTTCTTAACAAACGGATTTTCTGAAACCTTAAGATCACTAAATATTGGAATATGAGAATGAATAATTTTATGTTGTTGTTGAGATAATAAAGGATAAGGAAAAAGAGTTTGATTAACAAGGTCATAATAATGAGATGTAAGTGAAAATGTATGTGTTGGAAGATGATTTGTTGATGTATGGATAATGAATCTAATTTGAGAGGGAGGTGGTTGTAAAGAAGGTATTAATGAAAGAAGTTCTTTTGTGTTATTACTCATTGTAGAATCATATGAAGATAAATTTCCCGATAAATAATCTTTAAGAAGGATATCTGGTTGGTCCAATGAATGTTTTCTACTTTCATTTGGTAAGAAAAGAGTATTAGAAGAAATGGGATGATTTAGTGCTATTTGAATATTATAATGTCTATACTCTTCTGATGTAATTATATCTCGTTGATTTGATCTCCACATTATATCTTTCATTAAAAGAGTTAACATCTCTTTACTCTTTTTCAATGAATCAACACTCTCACTACAATCATACCCACTAATCTCTTCTTCAGAAACACCTTTCTCTCTCTTTTCCATTTGCATTTGTAAAAATTATTTTCAGTTTTTTTCTTCTTTTTCTCTTTTTGAAGAATAACAATTTTTTATTTAAATTGGTTATATATTCCATTAATTTATATTATTGTTTTTATAAAGTTTCCGAAATCTCTATAAAAATTTCTAAGTTCTTCCTAAAATTATCATCATTCTATAAATAGAAAAAGTAGCTAAAAATATATACTTGACTCACAAATGAAGAAAGGTTCGAGTTGAAAATGAAAGAAATGATATTTCTGTTTCAGTAAGTTATTTTTGTGTTTCATTTAAAAATCAAAAAGGAATTATACCAAACCAGATTCTATAAAAATATAGTAACAAGCAATTATTAAACAATAGTAAAATATACCATCAAAAGAGCATTGAGTTCATTGGTGAAAAGACAGGGGTATTGGTATTTAAGGAAAAAAAAAGTACTAGAAAAAATTAGTTGTCTAACGTAATGAGCATGACTTGTGGTGAAGTAAATAGACCCTTATCGTTTTTGTCTGGATATGTTATTTGTGTAAGTGGATATACTAATGAAGCCAGAGAGTTATTAAAAAGTATGATTGAATTATGTGGAGGGGTATATATGGAAGATATGGAATGTAGATCAGTGACTTTTTTGTTATCCACAAACCCAGCAAGTGAGAAAACAAAACATGCCATAAGATGGGGTGTTCCTGTTTTGTCGCAACAATGGTTGTTTGATTGCTTGTATAACCAAAGATTATTGTCTATCAATCCATATCTTCTTAATGCGAAGAAGTAATCACTGTATCATTAAATGTAATTGATGTTTCACTACCTTAAAATCACTTTTTTTCTCTTTTCGTTTTGTTAATTTTTAGGGTTTTTTAATATTTCGTTTCATTCTTTAACTTTATTTCTTTATTTTCATTCTTTTTTTTTACTTTCTTTTAAGATTAAAATCCAAAATAAGAAAATTACTAATCATTTCATTTCAAGCACCAACAATTTTTTCACATTAAATACTTGTGGATTTACTTTCCCATCAAATATTTTTGCTCCATACCCTTTTTTATCTTTATAGTATTCTCCAAAATGTCCATCAATTGTTCCTGCTACATTAGGATTATCATCATCTGTATCTGCAACAAGAGTGCAACATCCTAATGATGTAATTATTTTTCCATCTTTGGAATCAATACATAAACTGTCTATTACTTTTAGTTTCATAGAAAACATTAATGGTTCTGTTTTACTTGGATTAATAATAGAGAACATGAAATGTTTTGTGTCATTTGTAATTTTGTCTCCATAATTATTCAGACTCATTCCATTAAATGTACCAAAAACATTATTATCATTTGTTTCAACAATATACATTAATCGTTTCTTTCCACTGACAGTGTTCATCAATGTTTCATATTTATCACAGGTTGAATCAAATATTAAATCAGCTCCTTTTGTTTTTGTCCATTTGTTTAATTGTTCTAAATGACTATAAATCCCAATGTCTCTTAACTCAGCTGATAGTCTCATTTTAATTCCTGTTCCTTTCAATACATTTTGTGTTGATACTTTTTTATTAATTTTTGAAACTAACCCTTCAACTTTCTTTACTTCAAGTGAAGTAAATGTTTGTTGAAACCCAATTCTAATGTAGACCGCTCGTTCTTTTGATTCAATTAACTCATTTTGAACAGCTTTACAAATAGTTTTTTCATTTATTCTTCCTTTTTCTAATTCAATAAATGTTTCAAAATCTTCTTGACTCATTTCATTAATTCGTTTAGCAATTTCTTCAACAGATAATATATTGTCTGAGTCATTGTGGTTGTATAGTTCTTTCATAGTTTTAATGTCTTCTTCAGTTATATCATAGCGTTTTTTAATTTCTTTGCTTAGTTTTTCCGTTACAACATTTTTAACAAGATATAATGTACTTTTCTTTTTACTAGTCAAATTAAGAATATCTTGAATCATTATATCAAATTGTTCTTTCTCTGTTATTTTCTGATATATTATTATTATTATTTAACATTGTATAATCTTTAAATCTTATTCCAGTAGAAATACAACAAACATTATTTTTATTCATATCATCAAGTATCATAATTGTACGTTTCAATATCTCAACAATATCTTCAATTGAACTCGCATTGATATACTCATTTTTGATAGTACTAATAGCTTGTTCTATTTGATCCATTATCTCCAGAATTGTTTCAAATGAATCTCTTTTTTTTTATTTATCAATAAAAAAAATCACATTTCAAATACATAAAAAGTCAATTAATTTTTATTTAGGGATTTTGTTCAGAAATGAAATGGAAAAATTGAAGAAAATACAAAGAATTTATTTAAGTTCTTTTATCCTTGCTTCGTTTTTAATAAAGTAGTTGTTATCTGCTTCTCTTTTCCTAATATTTTACTTTTGTCGTTATGATTAAGAATTACCAGAAAACAAACTTTTGATTAATGAGATTCCAATATGAAAGATATCCTGCTCTTAACTCTTTTATTCCCTTTTCTCCTTCTAAAATTGTTTTTGTTTTGTTAGCTACAGGATAGTTGAATATTGGTGAGTTATGTAAATATTCACCAGAGACATCTGGCTCATCCGATGAAACTGCTCCTTCTAAGACAACAAATTTGATATTATCATATAGGCTCATGTAATTCTAATTTAAAGTTTCTTTTCTTTTATTTTTCAACAATAAAATAGTAAAGCAAAAAGAAATTACTCTTCTTCAATTAATGTTTCTTTAATTCCAAGGTAGTTCGTTATAATAATATCTGCAAAGTCAAATGATTCTTGAAAAATAGAATTATTATTATACTTAATCATACATACTTTAAATCCTGCTTGATGGGCATTTATTGCAGGTATTGGGTTGTCTTCAAATACAAAACATTCATTTGGATTAATTGTTTTTCCACTTCTTTTCATTGCTTCGAAATAAATATCAGCAGATGGTTTAGGATGAACAACATCAACTCCTGTGACAATATCGTTAACTTTAATATTCCATTGTTTAAGGTATTTGTCAATATGTTCTTTTCTACCTGAAGAAGCAATGATAATAGGAATATTGTTTTTTTGTAATTTTTCAATAAATCCACAAACCCCCTCTATCGGCTGTTTGCAATACACTTTCTTTTCAGTTTTCTCATTAAAATAAGAAGCAAGTTCCTCTGCACTTTTGTATTGTTGTCTTATACTTTCATAGGTTGTGTAATACAACTTGGCAAGGTTAAGTACAGACTGTGTCATTTGATGTGCTCTTACTTCTTTTGGTGTTCTTGGTAGTTTGAATTTTATTTCAAATTGGTCAAATGTATCAATCCATAGTGTTTCAGAATATACAATTGTTCCATCAAAATCAAATATCGCCACTTTCATATGTTACAACTGAATAATTTTAGTTATAAGCAAATCCCAAAAGGCTTTTTTATTATGATTTATTTTATAAAATGAAAATAAAAGAAGGCAAGAAACAGAATCTAAAACAGAAAAGAAGGAATAACATATTCTAATATATAAATAATACATATGATTCTGCGAAATATTAATGGCTAATATATTCATTGAAATATTTTAATATTAATAATGTAGTATGTCATTTAATTGAATGTATGTGTAGTAAATAGTGTATTTAGATTGGATATACATTCAGTAATGAATAAGAATATGTAAAATTAGAATTATGGATATTACAAGATGATTCTCTCTATTGTTGTTTATAATCAAATAAAATGTAATATCATATGATTAAATGGTATTGATATTGATTCATATAACGTAAAACATACTTTATACATTAATGATTAAAAACCATGTGTGATTGAAAGAAAGTAATTGAAGTAATGCATCAAACTAACAACAAAGTAAATAAATGAATAGAGACTGAATTAAATATCAATAAATATTTTTGATAATTATAAAATTAATATTACATCAATGATAGTATGAATGAATTTCAATTTTTAGATGATTCTATTTCATACAAATATCAGGCGTATCTTCAAATATAATGAAAATGAATAATAAAATAAAATATAAACTAAACAACAATAAAATGAATGAAAATAATTTAAATTACAACAATAGAAATAACATTGAAGTAAATTAGATAATCATATATGCTTCATTTGGTATACTTTGACAAACACTAAATTATATAAATTTGAATAACATATTATAAAAGAAGATACAATAATCAAATATCAATTATAAAACAACAATTGAAGATAAAATATACATTAATAAGGAATAAATAAGAGAATAATTTCATTAAGAAATAAATATACAATTGAAGTAATTAGAATAATAAAATAATATAAATAGAAGATAATAAAATAGAAGAGATGACAAAAAGAATAAAAATAAAAAATTGAAAATATGGAGATTGTATAAATTATGTGATAAAAGAAATAATAACAATGGATGTAATGAAATAAATTAAATTATAAAAAATAAGAATAATTCAACTATATTATTAAATTAATTAAAGAATAAATAGAATGAAATATAGTAATAAATGAAAATGAATAATCAAATAATAGAATGATAATGATAATGAAATGATAAGAAAATAATAAATAAAATAATGAAGAATATGAATATAAAAAGAAATATGAGTATAAAGAATTTAAATTAAAGAAAGAAAATAATCTATTTGTATTAAATAAACAAATCAATAATTACATTAAATAAGAAATAAAATGATGTAATATTTGTAAATATAAAATAACAACAATACGAATGAACATGATAAAAACAAAATAAAAATAATAAATGATAAGACGAATGATAAATATTAATGATAAAAAGATAAAACTAATATTTATTAATAAAATAAAAATGGATAAAATACACCAAAGATAAAATAAGACAAATTAATAGAATAAAAATAAAAGGAATTCCAATAATAGTTACAATATACAGACTAGTCAATAAAGAATAGTAAAAAACAATCAAATAATAAGACATTATAATTCAATATGAAATAATGATAAAAGATATAGTGAATAATAACATGAAATATCTAATGAAATAACAATAAAACCATTCAAATATACTGATACAAGATATATCAAATTAACAAAAAGAAGAAAAATTAAATAAAAGTTTTTTTAGTATTTTTTAATTATGACATAATTTCAAAATCTTACTTTGTTAATCCAATATGAACAATTTGATAGCTGTAGGTGGTAGTATTATTATAGGGGGGATTACCTATCTCATATCGCTTAAATCAAGTGAGAAAGAACATGAATATTTTGAAATTAAAAGAGGTCAATCAGCACAAACAATACAACTGTTTGGAGCATTAACCAGAAAAAGTCAAGAATTATGTGTTAGTCTCTTTAACCAATCTATTCCTTTAATTTCTCAATGCTTTGTTCTAGAAATTACAACAAAACAATTAAATAAACAAGAAAAAATGAATCAAATTCAATGCATCGTTGAAAAGAAAGTCTCAGAATGGTTTGCACGTTCAATAAGTTCAGCACTGATTTCTTTATCAACACACCTGGGTATTGTATTAAACAAAAGAGACTCAGTACTCCAAGAAACAACAATTCAATCAATTATCACAGAACCATCAAAAAGAATTAAAGAATATTGTGAGGGTATACTTTTACTTGTTCAATCCTTACATATAAATGCCTTTGCTAAGGTCAAAGAAGTTAATCTCATTGATTTGTTGAAGACTCTACAACAAAGTCTTGTGGCTGAAATGATTTTGTTTGTTCAAAAAAGTATTAAAGAGAGAATAGAAACTAAAGATCAGGAGGCATTACTTGATGATCTTCATATTGACTCTTTTGTTAAAATACTTATTAAACATCATACCACACAGTTGAATAACATTCTTTTGAAACAAGAAGAAACTGTCACTGACAATCTTTTGGTGTGTCAATTTATTACTAAGTGTAATGTAATAATCCAAACACTCCCAGTCACACCAGAATTATTTGTGTGTGATGAAATGAATCAAATGTTATTTGAATTTTTTCAATAATGTTATTTAGAATATCATTTGTGTTATTTTAAATTATAATTTTAAGAAAAAGATTAATAAAAATATAAGAAAAAATAGTAAAAATATAAAAAAGTAAAATCCCGAAAAAATTGGTAAAAAAAGAAGAAAAGACAAACCCTGATTTTTTAATAAGAACTGAACATCACAAAAAGAAACAGTCCACTTATGCAAATAATTGTCAAGAGAATTTCTGGTAAAGTAGAAGCTGTTACTGTTTCTGACAACGAAACTGCTGGTATGCTCATGAACAGACTTGGCTGTGGTAAACTCCTTGCAGGATGCAAAGTTCTTGGTTATAATGAAGCTATTGTTGACTCAACACTCTTCGAAATGGGTGGACTTGAAGGAGGTAAAAACAAGAAATCAAAGAAGAAGGATACTTCAAAACCAAAACACAAGAAACACGTTAATAAGAAAGTTAAACTCGCATGTTTAACTCATTATAATGTTACTAGTGCTGGTAAAGTTGAAAGATTAAGAAAATGCTGTGCCAATAAGAAATGTGGAGTAGCTTGTTTCCTTGCTCAACACAAAGACAGACTTACTTGTGGTAAATGCCATACTCATATTCCAAAGACCAATTGAGTAACTTGATGATTTACTTTTTTTTTTAACTTTTAATTTATATTAATAAACAAAACTTTTTTTTATTATTTCTTTTAAATTGTTAATTCTTTCTTTTATTTTTTTTAATAAAAAACCCTTTTATTTCCAACAAAAATATTTTGAATTGTTTTCTATTAGTTTTTTCTTTGAGAAAACAAGAAAGTATGGAAAAAGGATTGTCAATCCTTTCAATCTTTCAAGTATTCAACAAAGGGAATCCTATCTTATTTTTGACTAAATAAGCCTTCATCCATAAGTTGAGTACTAGAAATATCCATCACTATTGTTTTAGAATAAATAATAATATTAAGTTCTTTTAATAAAAAATTTTGTTTTTTTCTGTTCATTGAGATGTAATAATACTACTCTTTAGTCTAATATGTTTTTCTTTGAAGAGATAATTAGGGTTCTTCTATATGAACTAATTAACATTGTTTTATGTCTTTAAGTCAGGTACTTATTCAATTAATTGTAGGTCAACAAAATCAACAAACAGCCTCCCAAATAAATGAATTATCTAATCGATCATTATCAGAAATTCTTCCACCAGTAATAGACCTTTTACAAGACGCTAAAGTTATTCAAAATCCACCAACATTAATGAAAATTTTAATTTTTATGAAAAATTGTCTTACAGCTAAAGACCCTGAAAAAGCTTCAAATAAAAAAGCACAATGGAATACATTTACTATTGATATTAAAAATGGTATTCATGGTGTTCTTTTTAATCTTCTTAATTCAGCAGATTCACAAGTTCATTCTGTTTTAAGTGAAGTTATTGCTATTGTTGCATCATATGATATTCCATTATCTCAATGGAGTGATTTAATAGAGGTTTTAACAAATGATTCATTTCCAATAACTATACAAAAAGTATGTCTTAATATTTGTTCATTATTATTTGAAAAGATTGATGAATATAAAATGACAGTATATTTATCTAAAATTTTACCACGATTTGTTACTGACATTAATAATGAACATCTTTATGAAATACGATTAAATGGGATTAAAAATTTGTTAAATCATTATCGATCATTCTCTTTTAATAATTTTGATGTTCTTTTTGATATTGTTGTTGATTCAACTAAAACAAATATTAGTGAAAATGCATTAACTATTAGGTTAGAAACTCTTTCAATTGTTGTAGAAAATTTATATGAAAAACTTATTGGTCAAAATGATAGATTATGTAATTTTCTTGTTAATACAGTTGAAAAATATGGATCAAGTGAAGATATTGTAAAAAAAGTATATGATGTTTGGTGTACTATTGGTAGAGTTGAAAGTGATACTGTTAAAACAAGAAAATCACAAAATATATTAATTACTTCTATAAGTAAATTATATCCTCAAATTGTTAGAGTTATTAATGGATTTGCTAAAGAAGTAGTTCAAGAAGATGATGATGAAGGAGAAGATCAAAATAGTGTTATTTATGTTTCTCAAGAAATTGTTACTTATATGACTATGGTAGCACATGATCCATTTTCATCTAATGTATTAAATTCTATTACACAATCATTAAATGGAAATCAATTATCACAACAATATATTTCATTAATGTTATTTGGAGCTATTCTTGAAGGAGGTTGTTCATTAAAGAATTTAATAGTTCAAAATATTCCAAGTATTGTTCAAATTTATTCTAATTCTCAAAATGGGTTAATTAAAATGGCTGCTTCTAAAGCTTTAATAAAAGTATTAAAAATGATGCCACAATTATTAAATGGACAAATTATTAATCAATTAATTACTACTGCACTTAATATTATTTCAAGTAATAATAAGTCATATATTATTTCATCATGTTTACTCATTGGTTATATCTATAAAACAGTTGAAGAAGGAAATTCATTATCATCTAGTGTAAATCAAGTTCATTCAACATTAATTAAATTAGTACAAATGAATGATGAATTAATTCAAAGAACATCACTTCAATCATTAAAAAGAATTGTTGGGAATTTGTATAAAGTAAATGCTAAACCATTAATATTAAATACATTTAATTCAATTATTCAATTTATTCAACTTTTACAACAACAAGGTAATATGAAAGCTATTTCTATTTGTATACAAATTATGGGAGATTGTATTGATGAATTAACTGAAGAAATCCAATCAAATCCAAACACTATTAATCTTCAACAAACAATGAATATTTTAATTAGTTATTTAGCTAATACAGATACATTTGATTCTGCAATGAAAGCAATAGTTACAGTATCATCAGTATTAGCAGAACAATTCCAAGTATTCACAGGACCAGTTGTAGAAAAATTATTAATTGCTTTGAAAGAAGTTAGTCAATCAGAAATGATTAAAGAAAGTTGTATTACTATAGAACAATTATCTCTTGCAATTAAAACAGCAATGTCACCTTATGTAGAACAATTATTAACACAATTATTTAATGATTTACAATCAAATCAACTTAATTTTAAAGTAAAATTTACTATTATTAAAGCTATTTCTGGATTAGCTGTTGGAATTGGTTTTAATAGATTTTCAAGATATACATCAGTAATATTAAATGCATTAGGTCAAATTACTAAAAACCTTCTTGGATTAAAATTAGATCTTTATAATGAAGATGGTGCAGAATTCTTTGAAAGTATGATGGAATCTATTCTTATTTGTTATTCTAGATTGTACAAAGGATCAGATCAAACTATAATTAATTTTATTGATGTTCCAATTAATTTAACATTAAGTATTCATCAAGTAATATGTAGTGGTAGTGGATATGTAAATACTGATATTATTTATAGTGCTGTTTGTGCATTTTATGATACAATTGTGTCATTACCTTTTATTTGTCAAAGCCAAGAGTTATTTAAAAAAATATTCACTCCATCTGTTCTTGAAGTTATTCGTTCATGTGATTCAAATACTGAAGAAGAAGACCTAAGAATTAATGTTGACTCTTTAGTTAATAAATTAAAGAAATTAGGTGTTTTTCAATGATTGGTAACAAAAGTTAATTGACTTTCTTTTGTTTAAATTAAACTCAACCTATTCAATTAATTTAAAAATTAAAATGATGTTCATTAATAAGTTTATCAATATCACCATATTTAATAAAATCAACTAATATTGAAGGTTCTATAGATTTAATTTCAATAAAAAGGTCATTTATTGGTGTTTTTTCTATTATTGTTTTATCTAATTGTATAACACCAAGATAATAATTTTCAATAACTTTACATAGTTGATCAATTCTTGTTTTTAATTGAACTAAACAATTTTCATAAGGACTTTCTATAACTTCTTTTTCTTCTTCCTTTTCTTCTGGTAGACAAATTGAAATATCAACTAAATTGGAATAACGTTTTGCTAGTAAAATACATTCCTTAATAACTCCTGTAATTTGGTATGCAATAATCCCACTATAACTTCCACATCCCCATAATGGTGTTGATGTACCAATATCTTCTTTTCTTTGAACAACAAAACACTGATCTCTAACACTATTTAATTCTATTTCAGTCATTTCTTTATTAAGAATTAAAATTTCAAGTATTCTACCAAATGAACAAATGAAATCAACAACTGTTGCATCTGTTTGGATTTGATGAATTCCTTTATATTCATTTTCTTTTGTTTCTCTAAAGAGTTTTTTAGTTAAATTAAATAGTCTTGAAGGTCCTTTCATAGTGAATTGTTTAAAAAATGAAGAGTCTACTGGTTGTGTTATTTTGTTATTTGCAATTAATCCCAAAAATACTCCAACAACTAATGCATTAAAACAATTCCATATTCGAGTATTTCCATTAATCATTGTTAAAACATTCATTTCATTTCCTTCTAAAAATGCTTTATATTCAGGAGTCTTCATTTTAATTGGTTTAATTTGTAATTTCTCAAATACTTCAAATGTCATTTTTCTTTCATTATTATAAAGAACTTCCCCTTCTCCAATAAGTACTTTTCCTATAGCAGCAATATGATATGTATTGTTACAAATACTTCTTTTTGTTTTTAATGGAATGATTGGAAGAATATCTTTTTGGTATAATTCTTGAAGAAGTTTGATGGTTTGAAGTTGTACTGGAGTATTTCCTCGACAAATTGCATTCATTTTTAATAATAAAATTCCTCGAGTTTTGAATGGAGAAAGTATTTCATCAGAACATCCATCTAACCTTTCATTAAATTTCTCCAAAATATTAATATCTGTATCTTCTGATATTTGAGGAATGCTTTCCAAACATGTATGATGAAGATATAACTGATGTGGTTTTTGACAACCCTTAAGAAGATATTTTGGTGTCATTGTAAAACCATCTATTAAATACATAAATTCATCTTCTTTATTTTCTTCTATACTTTCATGGAGTTGCTTTTTCATTTTATTTATTTTTTAGTTTTTTTTATACTTTTTTGTGTGTTTTAAAACATTCTTTATTAAATGAAGTTCAATTTAACTTTGTTGCTCAACTGAAACAAAAACAACATTATTCTGTTGTACTACCCCAATAAATGAAATATCATTTTCTTTATTTACTTCATTTGGTGTAAAGACACTCTCAACAATTGTTTGTTTTGAATTAACAACCTTCAGTATTTGTTCTTTATTATTAATCCCACAAATGGCTATTAATTCATTACTAATAGGACGTACTTTATAACCATTTTCAATAAGATGTTTGTATACAATAACTTTTGAATTATAAAACAACTTTAACTCGTCTTGTCCTTCAGCTCTTCCCATTTGGACTAAAGCAGCGGCAATGTCTTTGTTAATGCACTGGGGTTTAAAGACAATCGTTTTAATTGTTTTAAATTTACTTTCAGAAACTAATTTTTGTAATAATTTTCCTTTCATATTTGTGACTTTATAACAATCTTCATCGATTTTCGTTAATGTACACTGGTTGAAAACAACTTGTTGTTTATTTTCTTTTTGTCTTTTCATTCAAATTGGTAATGAACAGTTCATTAATAATAAAAAGGTATGTTTTATAAAAAGAATAACTCAGACTCAAGTGAAAGTTGAAATCACTGGAAACTATAAAAGAATCCTACTTAAGATAACGCAGTAAAGTCATCACTGTTATTTTTTTAATTTCTTTATTTATAATAATTATTATTACTCTTATAATTAATTATTATGGTTTTTTAATACTAATTTAATAATAAAAAACCAATTCATTAATATTAATAAAATTAATTTCTATTGTTTTTACATAAGCAGAAATTAATCTCATCAAAGAATCTTCTTCTAGTAACTCTAGAGAGTATTGTTGTTATGACGGAGTCAATGTTTAATTACATTCATCATGTTTTTAATGTCATTTTTCATTTTTTATTTCTTTAATTAATTTAATATTTTCTGTATTTATTATTCTCTCTTATTCTCTATTTTCTTTGTTCTTTATATTTATTTCTTTTCTTTATTTATTTTCATTGTTGTTTTGATATGAAATATTAATCATATCATTTATAAGATTAGTTTTATTCTTTTTGTTTATTACTTAAATTTTATCTTTGTCTTTCTTTTATTGAATTTATATTCTGTCAATGAGTATTTCTAAACATTTATTTTCATTATACTTAAATTTAATTCATTTAATGTTATAATGACATTATCATAATTGATATATCTTTCATTCCACGAGGTGATTTGTTTTATTTTCCATTTCTCTTTATTTAATATCACCTGTGTTTCATATAATGATTTCCATTATTCTAAAGTAATATCGTTATTTGGGTATATTTCATTTTTTGTTTCTTCCTTATTCTAATTTTCTTGTTAGAATTAAACATGATTTTATTTGTATTGATTCTTATTATTTCATTTTTATTGAATTTAATTCTTTCTTTTATCATTGTCATCATATATTTTAGGTATTTTATTCTTTCTAGTGCTTTAACTTTAATACTTTATTCATCATATTCTTTTAATTTCATGATGCACTTTATTCTGTACCATTTTCATTGACTATATCTTCTAATCTATTCATTTTCTTTAGGATTTCTTTTATTTCATCAAATTTATCTCTTATTATTTTATTTTGGAGATAGAGGTGCATACACATTGAAATATTATTCATATCATCTTGCACTTCATGCATTCTGCTTCCTGAAATTATCCATCTATTATTATTTCCTCTTATTAATTCGTTAGCTTCTTTTCTTTGAATATAGTAATTAATATTTGTACATTTTTCTACTTTCATTTCTTTTACTTTATTGATGAGAATGTTAAGATATTCTTCATCAATTTCTGTAGAACTATTCTTTAATATGATGTTTTTATTATTGAATTACACTCTACTCTTCTATTATATCATTTACTTTCACTTTAATGTACCGTTTAGTATTTTCTTTTATTTTATGTGATATTTTAATATATTTAATATATTCATTTTCATTATTGACATTAATGTTTAACACTTTTATTATATTTTCAATTTCTTCATTTCTTCATTTCTTATATAATTTCTTATTTAACCAAATAATTACAAAACAATACAATACTTCAATTAAAATTCTATTTCTTTATTTTGTTGTATTTATTCTTGTATTTTTATTATGTTTTGTTTGTTATTTATTATTCTTTGTAATTTTCCATCTATCATTCATTTCTTTATTTGTGTTTTTGTTTTTAACTTCTTCTTCAATTATTTTAATGTCTTTTTCTTCAATGTCTTTTGTTTTCTTTATTTTCTTCTTTGATTCTTTCATTTATCTTTTTTGATTGAATATACTTCTTGTTGAATATAATACAATCTTTTCCTCTTACCTTCACATTTTTTAAGTATTTCTGATTATTCTCCTTTTTCCATTCACTTGTTATTCTTTTTATTATTTCTTGTATATCATTTATTGTTATTCATTTATATTTGTTATGGGTGCAATCTTTATTATTATTGTATTTATCTTGTTTCTTATTTGTTTTCATTTGTATCTTTCGTCTTCTAATCAATTTTTCCTTTGTATTTCATTTATCATTATCATTTTTATTTCTTTTCAATTTATTGTTATTGAAATTCATTCTTTTATTGTATGACATTGAATTTTTATATCTTGTTTGGTTTTCTTTACAATACACAAAGTATTTATACAATAACTATGGCATTAAAATTTGTTGTATTTATTGCATTGGAAAAGGATTTTATATGATAAACAATATAATAATAAAAACAAAGATGTTCAATTAGAAGAATAAAAGAATGATTGTAGCACAAAGAATAATAAACATACTTGTTGTACCATCATCATTGTTATAATTATTTCTATCATCATCTTGTTTATTGTCTGAACTATCTGAACTACTTGTTGTTTTATTATCTATTTCTTTATTTCCATCTTTTTGTTGATTATCATTTCCATCTTCTGGTTTTTTGTTTGGTTGTTGATTATCCTTTCCATCTTGTGGTGCAGATGGTTCTTGTTTGTCTGGTAATGGTTGATGTTCATTGTGGTATTGTTTTTCTGGTGTCTGATCCGAAGGTAGTTGATGTTCATTAAATGGATGTTGATTTTGTTCTGGGATTGGTTGATGTTCATTGTAAGGATGTGGTTGTCTTTCTGGGATTGGTTGATGTTCATTGTGTTGTTCTCCTTGATGATCATGTGTTTGTTGAGCATCTCCATCTTTTGTTGATTGAGCAGCTCCATTTTGTGTTGGTTGTACTACTGTTGTTTCTTTTGCATTTTGAGCAGTTCCATCATGTGCTGGTTGAGCATCTCCATTTTGTGTTTGTTGTACTACTGCCGGTTTTTCTTGTTTTGGTGATACAGTTGTTGATGTTACTGGGTTTACAACTTCACTTTTAAATTGTATATTATTTCCATTATACATTCTTTGGGATTCTTTTGTTTCTATTTGTGTGTGTATTACTTCGGTATTTCTTTCTTCTTTATTGATAATACTCTCTGTTGCATTAACAAGTAATATAAATAATATAATTGTAATCATTGAATGAAATTTAGTTCAGTTATTCGCTTTAAATATTCCCTTCTTTATTTTTTCAATTCATTTTATTCATCATTTTTATTCTTATGCTTCTATTTTCTATTTCAAGACTCAATATTCAATATTCATTTTCTTTCATGATTTTATTCTTTATCTATTTTGACTCAATATTAATAAATAGATTGGTATGTTTTATTAATTTAAAATTTTTCATTTTTGTAGTTTAATACAAAAATAAACATAACCATAAAGTATTATTGTATATTTATTATCATCAGTGTTTATTATTTATAATTTCCGTTTTACAAAATTAATTAACTAGAAAACAACCAATTAATCATTATATTATTATTTCGATTTTATCTTCACTTCAATTGTAAATTATTGTTATTTTTATTTTCATTCTCATTTGTTGTATTCCTTATCATATTATTATTTGTTCTATTCATTTTCTTTTCACATCTTTCTTCTTTATCATTTCTATTTATTCTTTTATGTCTCTTTCTTATTAGACTTGTTGTTTGTATTATATTTGTATTATCTTTATTATATCTTTATGGTTTATTTCTAACTCTGCAACGAAAAAAAGGCAAATAATTGAAAAAGAAGATAAAGATGTATAAGAATAAAAAGAAAGTAGAAGAAGAAAGAATATAGAAAGTAATAAAAGAAAAGAGATATTAAAAGAAGAAAAGAAGAAATAAATGGTATGTTTTTATTTTAAAAATTAGAACTATTCAATAACAGTGTCTAATTTAATTATGTAAAATAATTAGTAATGTTTTATTAATGAAAAATATTTTTTATTCGTTTTTATGTTTATTATTTATGTGTATAATTTCATTATGATGTTTATTATATATTCAAACATAAGTGTTATGTTATTATTATAACATGTAATAAGTGATAAAATATAAATGAAAATGATATGAATATATGACATAGATAGAATATAAAACAAAAGAATAATAAGAATAAATGATAAATAAATATAGAAATGATAATCAATGATATAATAATAAAATCAAAGTATAAAAGATAAATTTAATATTAATATAAATCAAAAGAGAATAAATATAAATTGAAAATAGATATAAATGATAATAATATAAAAATGATAAAGATGAATAAACAAATACATCTAAATAGAAAAGAATATAAATAAGAAAATCTAAATAATATAAACATAAAAATAATAAAATAAGAAGAATACAATGATATACATATTATAAACAGAGAAATAAATATATAGAAATAAGATACATAAATAACATAATAATAAAAGATTAAAAATAATAAAAATAAATATGATTCATCAAATAATCTACTTCATTAATATTTCATACAAAATGAATACAATTGATAATAAAATATAAACATAAATATTTACATATTCTGTATTTATCATACTTTTTATTTTTTTATTTTTTTAGGAGCAAAAGGAGATCGAAGGTGGCATGTCTGAAACACCACACATAAACCCTAGTACAAATTCATTCTTCGACTCTCCCAGTTATTATCTGGTTATGACGGTGCTTTTGAATTAGGAATGTATTAGGGAATGCTGCAAAGGGTGCAGCAAGAGAATACAGTAGAATATTACATGGATGTAATATAAGAATCTACTGAAGTGTGGGTATGACTAAAAGAAGATTAGTCAAAGTAAGACTAAAAAGAAGATTAGTCAAAGTAATACAGTAGTAATAAAATGATTCCTTCTTCCATTCATAAAATAAG